CTTCGCTTAAATTATTCCGTAGCACTTTTCTTCAAGAATCTGATAAGATTTTGCTTGAGGCAGATCAAAAAACTTAAATTCGATCGAATAGCTTTCTACTTTCACAATACACGGTCTCGTCAAGGTGCGTCTTTGACCTCGCAGTGTTGGATCGTGAATTCTCTTTTTATGCTGTTTGCCTATTTTGAAATCTCTGTAAATGAAAACTAAAGGGGTTGATATGTGCGAGTTAATGACGCGCCTTATCAACACATTGTGTTGGAGTTCACTGCTTGTTTTTATATTACATGGTAAAGTTGCGAATTTTCCCATTTAAATAATGTTTTATATTTTTTGTCATAGTTCGTTTGAGCGTTCTACTAGGCCGATTTCCATGATTTTTGCGGTTATCGACAAGTGATAGGTTCTAGATGAACCCGCTTTAATTAGATTTTAAGAACAGGACCTAGGTTTTTTTTTTATACCTATATATAAGAGAAGACCAAGAAGCTTAATAAGGGGGGGGGGGCAACATTTGAAAATCCCGCCAGTAAAAAATGGTGGAAATTTCAAATTTAGTTGAAAAAACAAAGCGGAAATGCAGAATATTGGTCTGTTAGTAGGGTAAGGTAGGTGAATAGAAGGTATGCTCCTTTGGCACAGACTATCCAAAATCGATGGACCGCTTTGTTCCGATTCGTTTCAGTCTTTGCTAGAAGTTTGAAATGAATGCCAATTTTTTTATTCGATTCTCATTGGTTCAATCGCTCCCGGCCAGAAGGAGATTGGACAAAGGAGAGTCGCGAGTATGAAAATATTTTCATTTTTTGGTCGTTCTTCTGTCGAAGCGGGCCTAATGGAGCGCGAAGCGCCCTCTGGGGGTTGGGCCGCGTAGCGGCCAGAGGGCATAGCCTCCTAGTTATCTATAAGGAGCAACTCTTATTTTTGCTCTAGCAAAAGTTTGCAACAGGCCTATTGTCAAGTACATTTCCACAGAACCGCGGCAGCATGGCCGTTGACTCAATGAACGTTGCTCGGCTGTGTAAACATTGGTGAAGGACGAGGGGTGAGGACAGGGAGACTCGAACGAGCCGGTTCAAAAACGGATAAAAACCTACTCCAGGAGCCCAGGAATCGTTTCGCGGCCGTGAAAATCCGTCGCGCACCGCTAAATCGATCTCCTTCCGTTCTTGGGCGGACTTGGCCATTTTGTGGCCGGGCCGCAGCGCCCGCCCCAAAAATGGAGATGTTGCATGTGTGAGGAATATGCGATTTAACTGTTGATTCTTATGTAAAAGTTCGCGAGAAACACGATGGTGCCACTGGTTTTCTCTGAAATCATCTCCCAAGCTCAAAAAAAGCTCTCAAGTTGAGGCCAAAATGGAGGGGATATCCCACGCTATCCTGAGAGTCCACCTCTACATCAAGAGGAACTCTCCATGCAAAGGTAGGGAGCAAATACATTAGCAGTGATGCCGTGTTTTCAGTTTTAGAGTCCCCAAATAAAGTGGCAGCCCTGTCAATGTATTTGCTCCCTATCTTTGCATGGAGAGTTTGTCTTGATGTGGAGGTGGACTCTCAGGGTAGGGTGGGATATCCCCTCCATTTTGGCCTCACTTTGAGAGCTTTTTTTGAGCTTGGGAGTTAATTTCAGAGAAAACCAGTGGCCACATCGTGTTTCTCGCGAACTTTTACATAAGAAGCAACAGTCAAATCGCAAATTCCTCACACTTGCAACATCTCCATTACTCTGATATCCACGTCGTTCAGAATGGCGAAACTGGAAAATAGGAAACTGACTCAAGGGCTAAAGGCGGGCCTGGCAATTCGGCAACATTGTTTTCTCTCCATTCAAAGCTGTGGTGAATAATCGACTCTTGTCGGAGCGCCTGGCTTCTTCGATAATCGATACTTTCCAATAGGTTCAAATGGAGAGAGTGCAATGTTGCAGTCTTGCTGGACTTGCCGCCGCCAATGGTGATTATTAAAATTTGGCAACGCCGTTTTTACTCAGTCTGGATGTATGTAACAACCAGAGACAAGAGACCCTCCGCTAGTATCTTGGCCATGGTGGAAGCTTTTACTTTCGGGACTTCAGCAATCTACTGTTGACTTACCTACATGGTTGATGTTCAACAACTTGTTGGCAGTTTCGTTTTGCAAACAAGCCGAAAATGGCCGACGTTTGGGAAACTTGTTTGGCTTATGACGTCACCCGAAGCTCATCATCGACCATGTAGGTAGGTCAACAGCCGAAATTAGGGTGATGACTGTTGCTCCCTAATAATTGTCCGTAAGGAATTGTTGAAACCCCGAAAGTAAAAGCTTCCACCTGTCGCCAAGAGGCCAGTGGAGGGTCTCTTGTCTCTGGTAACAACCCATCCTCGGTGAGAAAGTTTGCCTCGTCTGCGGGCTGATTGTTGAAATTGATGGACAAAGCTATAGACAAAGAAGACAAAAGGGATATGGAGGGATCCTATTGGTGAAAGCGGGTGATTGCAATGGACGCAGGAGCTAGGTAATAGACTAACTAACGGAAACCGACGAGAGACCCCATAGTTAGTCCATGATTCACCACCTTAATCAATGAGAACCACCCATTTCAGCCAATAGGATTGCTTCATACTCCATATCTCTTCTTTATTAATTGCTTTGTCTATCAATTACAACAATCAGCCCGCTGAAATTGATATTTTCAATGGATTTAGGCGGAGGAAGAGCAGTGTTGCCAACTTGCATAATCGCCACGGGCGAATGCGAGGGATCTGTCGCACGGTTGCTGACGGCGCAGAGATGCAACTATTCGTGCTTGATGGATGCCTGTGTTGCGTTTGCAAACTTGAAGGCGCGATGGCTAGAGGCGTGAACTCGCAATGCCCCGTCGTATATTGCCAATGAGATGTCGCCCGGATTTGAAAGAAAAGTTGAGGAGGCCCGAATTCGTCTCTCTTATCTTTGGCTGTATTGACATTCGATTTGTCCCCCTTTTTTTTAATTTGAAGTCTGATCCTTTTCAGGACTTATTCGTAAACCTGTATCAAAAGTTATCGTATGTGCTGACCCAACACAACTCATGGAGTAGGGTGCACTTTTAGCAAGCCTTGGGTAAACTTGACTTGGCTTGGGCATTTGAGGGTAAAAAAAAGTACGAAGAAATCTTAATCGTTGTGCGGACACTCTTCTTCTCATTAAATTGTTTATGGAGAGAAATAATAAACTTTTCGCGCTTGGTATTTTAGGTGAATGTAAGTGAAAAGATGCAAATACATTTACACTAGTGCACACCTGTGTATGAAGACTTGAACAAATTTATAACCCTAGGATTGACGAATTTAGTAATCTATCAGTGTAAGAAGAATGTAGTTCAAACTGTTCTGAAATTTTTTGGATTAAAATTGTAGATTTTCAAAACTTTTCACTTTACGAATGAATGTCGAATTAAAAAGCCGTGCCTTCGCTAAACCATTCGTTTTATTTATATACTCTTATTAGGTGGTGAAATAATAACATTTCACATCAGAATAGAATACAATACATACTACGGACTAAATAATAAAATAGAATAAATTATCAGCGTTACACAAACCTGAACCAAACTTCTTTTAAAAAAAAAATTGCTCATGAAAATACAAATGTTTAAATTCAATATATGAATAAATATAGGTAGTAGTACAAATAAATTAATAAACTAGTCTACATTAAATTAGATTATATCAATATAAGGCATGGAAACTTATAGCGTCCCGACGGATTTTGTCATATTATATGCCAGTATAGAATGATAAAGAGAATGGACCCGTTATGGTCATCATAGAATTTTATAATGATCCTCTGTACTTTTTATTGGTTAGCAAAAAATAACGAGGCCCAAACGGCCGAGCAGAATTGCGAAGGGGCTATTTCCGCCAATGGTTCCTTCCAGCATAATACGTCTAAGTATACATAAACTGCCGTGCAATGCAAAAACGCTGTAAACGCCATTTTAAATTTTTTGGAAACAATGTGTCATAGCAGAAAAACTTGTGTACCTTGGGACGATGTTTTACAGGATGCTTTTGCAAATACTAGCAAGAACTTAACCTGAAAATGTTAGGTGCATGGGTCAGGCAGGTTTCATTTTATGAAGTGTTAAGTTCCAAAAAACGTGGGGAAATCTTGATGGATTTACGGCGTTCATTCTTAGCACGGCAGTGTTACGGCAATTTAACGAGCCCGAATCGATATGTTGCATCTGTGCGGGATTTGCGATTTGACCTTTGATTCTTATGTGAAAGTTTTGCGAGAAACACGATGGTGCCACTGGTTTTCTCTGAAACCATCTCCCAAGCTCAAAAAAAGCTCTCAAAGTGAGGCCAAAATGGAGGGGATATCCCACCCTACCCTGAGAGTCCACCTCCACATCAAGACAAACTCTCCGGGCAAAGATAGGGAGCAAATACATTAGCAAGGTTGCCACTTTATTTGGGGACTCCAAAACTGAAAACACGGCATCGCTGCTGGAGAGTTTGTCTTGATGTGGAGGTGGACTCTCAGGGTAGGGTGGGATATCCCCTCCCCTTACTTTGAGAGCTTTTTTTGAGCTTGGGAGATGATTTCAGAGGAAACTAGTGGCACCATCGTGTTTTTCGCGAACTTTTACTAGAGTCCCTTTATACTGAGAGTCAAGACAATGCGAATCCATTTCTGATTGGTTAACCGGATTTTAGGCCCTCACAGTGTCACAAACGGGAATAAAGATTACATTTTCACCGATTGCAAAGATTATAATCTGGGGTGGACCGAGGAATTTCGGGTTCGACAAGGAACAAACGGAATGAGAGAAGGAACGGAGAAAGGAATTTAAGAATGAGCCGATCAAAGATTACGACAAACGTTCTTCCCGTTTGTGACTCCATGAGGAGTGTTGTCTTGACTCTAGGTATAAAGAGACTCTAACTTTTACCTAAGAATCCATGGTCAAATCGCGAATCCCTCACACGTGCAACATCTCCATTACAGTTTCCTTAAATTTGGTGTTTCAGGAACATGTGGAATGTGTGGCGAACGGTATTGGAGGAGAACGAGAAGCTTTCCCGGGCGCGGCTCGCGGCCATAGAGGTGTTCCAGCAACAGATAGCTGACGATGCCTGCACGTTGCGGAGGCACAAAATGCAGATGGCCAGAAAAGTAAGTCATTGCGTGTCAACCACTATTTAATTTTATTCACTGTTCACTGAAAAAAAAATCTCGGTGTATTTACTAAGAAAAGGGTGAAATCACCAAGAATTCAGGGTTCTATTTGATCCCAGTTTTTTCTCGGTAAAATTACCATTTATGGAATCTGTAATTTTACTGGACCCCGGTAAAAACGCCAATATTTTTTATCGACTGTGGTAGAAGTACCGAGATAAAATGGCAAAGTTACCGGGAATTGATTACCAATAAAAGTGGTATTCTTACCTGAAAAAACAGTAAGAATACCGGTTTTTAGGTAAGCTTACCAGTCTGTCTTGGTAAAATTACCAATAATCGGTAAAAAAATGAGATGGTGAAGGTACCAACGGACCTTGGTAAAAACGCCGAGAATTTTTTTTCAGTGTTTAAAGGATGACCTCACGGCCTCCGAATGAACATTCGCACGCAGACCAAACGGGTCAGCTATCAGTGTTACCATTCTGCGTCATTGAGGATTTTTTTTTTGCGTAATTGAGGGTCGCTGCGTAGTGGCTGCGTAATGCGTAGTAGCTGCGTAATGTTAATAAATCTGCGTAATTGAAGTTTTTTTAAAAAAAATTCAGTTTAGTATCGCGGTTTTTAGGTTAGGCACGTCTTGCCTGGTATCGCCGAGCATGGTAAAACCAGAGGTAAACGATCGTAGTGAAGATGGTTTTTTACCCAGAAGCAATGTTGTAATCTTTGCCTCTAGATTCCTACCTTACACAGTCTGCTATACTCGATAAATGACGCCTAATGAGAACTCTCTTCTCAAGTAAAACAGTGGCGTGGCGTGCGTTTCTATCTATCAATCGATCTGCCCTTTAATCCTATGAAAAAGGGTCGAAAAACCATCACTCGATCTGCCCGTTAATCCTATGGAAGAGGGTCGAAAAACAGGGTGTTCTCAGCGAACCCCGTAGTAATCAACTCTGTAGCATAGCTTCAAACGGGGAAATACACGCCTCGCCACTGTGAAATCGGATAAAAATCGCGTCGCACATTGAAAACGTTTCATTTGTAGGTATTATCTCCGAAAAGAGCTCTTCTCTGGCATCAACAATTGAGACTTATTTCTCCCGAACGGAATTATGTGCATTAAGACATGAGCCATGAGTCCCATAAGAATATATGCATAACAGGGCTCACGTCACAATGCACAAAGTTCCGTTTGACAGAAATGCGTCCAATTGAGACTAGCGAGTCGTGAGTGACCCTCGTTTCAAGTTCATCTCTTCTCTACTATTTGTGCACCTGCGCATGGCCGGCTGTACTGCCGTGCTAAGGGAAAACGCCGTATAAACATTCGAGAGTTGACAAATTTCCTATGATAAAATGTTTATTTCAGAGAAAAATGATGAATATTTTTCCTTGGAATTTTCAGACACCTTAGATCAAAATACAAACCATATTCTCTGAAAAATTGGAAGAAAAATATTCATAAGTCTACCTGAAAAAAGAAAGAATCCTCAGAAATCATTCGGACGGAAATTACGTGAATACGGCCATGCATGCGATTGATTATTCATCTTGCTCGGAATTAATCGTTCCTAAAAAAAAAAAAACCCACATTACCGTTTCCTTGAGCTTTAAAGTAAGGCTTGTCGTTAAGAGTAAATGCGTTGTCTCCTGTGAACAGCGTCTTAATGACAGGGAAGATCGTGCGCACATTTTCCTGTAGTTATTACCACCAGGCTTATCATTTGTAAGAAATGCAAAATATGCTGTTGAAGCTGAGGGTACGTATGCCGGTTGAAGGGTGCTGCTGCTGTTGTTGTTGTTGTTGTTGTTGTTGTTGTTGGTGGTGATGCTGCTGCTGCTGTTGTTGTTGTTGTTGTTGTTGTTGTTGTTGTTTTTGTTTTTGTTGTTACCGTGACTGTCGTTACCAGAGTTGCCAATGTCTTCTAAACTACAGTTTGGATCCAGCGAAGGTCGTAGGTACCTTTTCTGTAATTGATTATCACTAATCTTATTATTGTGTACTAAGTTGAAGATATTGAGCATATGAAGCTGAAGGTGCGGTGGATGAAGGAGTCGTTGCTGTTGCTGTTGGAGTTGTTGTTGTGGTTGAAGTCGTTGTTGTGGTTGAAGTTGTTGTTGTGGTTGAAGTTGTTGTGGTTGAAGTTGTTGTGGTTGAAGTTGTTGTTCCGGTTGAATCCGATGAGGTGGGTGACGCGGTCGAGTCCGTTGTGGTGGGTGACGTGCTTGAGCTCGTTGCGGTGGATGACATGGTTGAATACGATGCGGTGGGAGAAGTTGAGTCTGGAGTGGATGAGTTGGAGGGGCTAGTCCCATTGGTACCATTGGTACCAGCAGAGGGAGTTGAGGCATTCACATTGGTACCAGTAGAGTTATCTGAGGTAGTCACATTGGTACCTGTACCTGTGGTATTCACATTGGTACCAGTAGAGTTATCTGAGGTAGTCACATTGGTACCTGTACCTGTGGTATTCACATTGGTACCAGTAGAGTTATCTGAGACAGTCACATTGGTACCTGTGGTATTCACATTGGTACCAGTAGAGTTATCTGAGGTAGTCACATTGGTACCTGTACCTGTGGTATTCACATTGGTACCAGTAGAGTTATCTGAGACAGTCACATTGGTACCTGTGGCAGTCACATTGGTACCAGTCGGAGTAACAGTGGAGATTGTACCATTGGTTGTATTTACTTGTGTCGATGGAGTCATACCTTTAGTCGTCCTCTTACCCGCCGTGCTGATCTCTGTCAGAGCGTACGCCATCACGACGAAAATGATGGCCGAAGCTGTCAAACGGAACTGTGCCATATTGTCTTAAGCTGTTGCTCTGAGTTGTGACTGAGAACAGAAAGCAAATGATTGATGCATGAATATCGGAAGACAACTATTTGGAAAGCAACCAGCGGACTGATTATTGAAATTGATAGACAAAGCTATAGACAAAGAAGACATAGGGAGTATGGAGCGATCCTATTGGTTGAAATGGGTGGTTCCTATAGACAAAGGGAGAAAATGATAGACTAACTGTCGGGTCTCTCGTGGGTTGCCGTTAGTTAGTCTATCACCTATAGTGGGGCCGATAAGCATAACAATCGTGCACTTCTGGAAGAAAGCATGAAAATTTCAGGGATTCATCTCTACCCTATAGACATTCGATTCAGACATAGACCCCAAAAATCTGAGCCCCCTGGGGGGGCAGGGGGGCCCCCAAATTTTGAATTTTGAA